TGACTTCAACTGTTCATTTAGCCACAAATCACCAAGGGTTGGCAGTTTATTTACCTTCCCCACCAGCCTCCTGTGGCTTCCCAGACTCCAGAGATAGTGGGTGGCCCAGCTGAAAGGGGCAGGGAAAGGGAAGCATCCCACTGTGAGGAGTAGTCAGGGCTCTCACAAAACTGGGGACACCCCAAACTGGAGCAGGCCAGGGGTTCAGCCTTCTGTGGGCTGGAGGCTGCAGAACATAAGTGAGAGTGGGACACTTCTACAGCCCCTTTTATGGGAGAATGGCTGAGAAAGCACCTGCAAGCAGGCTTACAGCTTCTGTCTCCAGCATCGGTGGTGCTTCTGGGCTGTATTTTTCCACTAGCTGGTTTGGGACTTCAGTGCTGCAGATGACCCGAGGCACCAGGGCCAGAGCAGCAAGATCCATTGTTTCCTGAGGGATGCTATAAACAAGGTTGTTACACTCTGGGTCTCTTACAGAGAAGTCATTTCCAAAGATGGAAAGCTGTGGGAGGTATAACCTGGGGACCAGCTAATGCTGAGCAAGTGGGTACAGCCATCCTGGGGACAGGGAGCTCCTTCTAGGCTTAAAAGGTATAGCCCAGGCAGAAATTAGGGTGCCTGTCACCTCTCTGGGATGGGTTAGTCACAGCAGTTCCTGCATTGGTCCCTGTCTCAAAGGTAACTTCTATTGACTAAATGTAGGAGGTAACCCAAACCCAACAGCGGGACCTAGTGCTAAACTGTGCATTTAGTAGGTAGACATCAAGACAGCTCCAGCATGGATCATATCTTCATCTGATGTCTGGGATAAGAACTCGATTCTGAGAAAATGGAAGTCTGGTCCCAGTCAGTGACTGTTTATTGGGCTATGGATTATCCTCGGCCTTGACTTTGATCTTGGGAAAGCTGGGTTTGTTGAGGGACATTACGTTGCTTCCCAAGGTGACACTGAGGAAGTAGTTTTACAGGGCTGTAAAACTAAACTGTGCTCCCAAATACTACCTGTGATCCCATGGCTTGTTTGTGGGAGCTCAGGCACTCCTGGCAACAGGCTGGGGAAGCATGTGAACTGCTGTAGGTAGTGTTGTGGGTCTCTACAGATGCTGAAAACTTGGGTGCACCAGAGCTGGATGTCTTTGTCCTGTGGGTGTTTGCTCTTCCTGTTTTCCTCCTGCTGCTTGACCTTGTAGGGCTGGAAGTTGTACAGAGAAAATCCATTTGAGGCTATGGAAAGAGAAAAATAATGCAAAGAGCTCCAGTTGTCTAGTTGGACACCTTCAGGTCACCAATGAATGGTTTTGCAGAGCTTATGTAGACCCACTCTGCCTAGATGCTGCTGTGGCTGCTGCTTTCAGGTGGCTGAAGAAAGACTGGGCTCTGAAGGTTCAGCTGAGGCACATCGAGGAGAATCCCACAAAATGTCTGGGCAAATGAAAAGTCCAAGGAAGCTCTGGGTTGTGTGAACGCTCCTGGTGCTGCCCACTGCCCAATAAAGGATGCTGTGATCAGGCCCTCCCAGAGAGGTGAGGGAGCTGAGCAACCTTGCTATGCCTGGGCAGCGTGGATCTCCCACTGGTCTGCACTTACCAGGCATGAATATACTAAATGGTTAAGTGTGAAGGCACCTTTAGGGCACAGTGTGAAGTGCATCAGGCAGAGAACAAATGGAGATGTTGATGTAGTGGGTTGAGCCAGTGAAGGATGGGAGAAACACTCTGGCTGGTTCAAGGCTTCAAGCTGGTCCATCCAGCTCTATACAGGCCTCAGGAGAGCAGTCCTGGATGTGTCCAAGACCTTCACAGCAGCAACGTGGTGTTTGCTGACCTGTTTCATAGAGCCAGGCACACTGTGAGGGCTCTGCTACCAGTGGGTGAGCAGAGGAGGCCCTGGGGTAACAGCACAGGGTGACCTGTGGGGGGGACTGGAAGCAAGATGGTGCTGGTGGGGAACATCCCTCCTTAAACTCCACCTGCTCCTGAACTGGGGTGATTCCCTAGGGTAGCTCCTGTCCATAGTGCCATGTGTCCCCAGGCCATGGGAGCAAGCTGTCTTGCTGGCAGATATTCTGGGCTCTGCTGCCTGTCGCTGATGTTTGGGGTTGCCTTAGATCCTCTGTGGAGAAGGATGCTGGGCAGAGGTAAGGGGCCAGGCTGCTATCATGTTCACTTATTACAATTCTCAGATGTAGTTAGCAACCAGGTGAGCTGTCACCAGAGGACCTGATGGATGGAGAAGAGAGTTCCCTCCTTCCTGAGACTGGAAATGAAGCTAATCAGACCTGGACAACTTAATCCAGCTCTGATCTGATTAACGACCTTGAAGACTGTGAACTCATCAGCATCCTGGCATCTATCACTGGCTGCGTCCCGCCCCTTCTGCCGACCACTGCTTGGCACAGCACTCGTGTGCACAGCCCTGGGTTCCAGCTGTCTGCCCTGCATGGTGTGGGCTGTGTGCCAGCTGCTCCAGCCTCTTGCAGCGTCCCAGTGTCTGGGTTTGGTTCACCTTGAGGAAGGAGCTCCCTCCATGCCTTTTCTAGGTTTCTTTATCAGGTTTTCACTCAGGTTTTATGGCTGGTGTTTGCAAAGATTTCTTGCCTGTGCAATTCCAAGGTTGCAGCTTGGCTTCCTGCGCTTGCATCACCCTAGGATCTGTGAATTGGGCACCAGCCTGGATTGCTGATTCTTGGAGGTGTGTTTGTCTTTGGATAGAGCCTCCTTAGGTGGTAGAGGTGACTTCAGTGAGGACAGTAATTTGTGACTCTGCACTGTGACCCAGACCCCCAGAATGAGTCTCATTCCCTGCTCCCACTGTCCAAGCTACACTGTGCTCAGGGCTTGGCAGTGGTTACTCAGCCTCTCCTGGGCTGGCTATGGCTACCAGCCTGTTTGCCATCCCATGGTGGTCACTGTGGTGGTGACTTCTCTGTTGTGCCCCAGTGCAGCAGCCACAATCTCTGCCCTGGGTATCAATGCATGTTCCCTGTGCAAAGCTAACAAGCCACTGCAATCCTAGGAGCCAGTCTTGAGGACTCAGATAAGGAAGTGGTGGTTCCTCTCTTGCTTCTGTCACCATTGCAGGCTGTGGACCTGCAGTAGAAGAGCTGTCCTACCTCTCCTGTGCCCTCTGGTCCCCGAATACCTGCTGCACTTTTCCCTTGTGCTTGGGAGCCAAGCTGTTCCATTGCTCACCAAATCTTGTCTGCCTATGCCTGCTGCTTGTCAGGGCTGGCTACTGCCATGGTGGGGAGAGTGGAAGGGCTTGGGGTCCTTTTGTTCATCAGGGATGTTGGCTTCTGTCGTGGGAAACCAGAGGGGGGTGAATTTGGGGCTGGGGAGAGCCCCACAGCCTGCATAATGGTGGAGAGATGGTATGGCAACAGGTGCTGAGGGTAGAAAGGGACCTTCTGTACCCTCTGTCCAAGTAGGGTGTTTTACTATGGGGTGACATACACCCCAAACACCCTTTTGAGCAAATCCAGCTCTGGCTGTCCATAGGGCTGATTCCTGCCCTCCTCCCTCCCAGAAAAGGAGCTGAAAAGGGGCAGTTGTGCATCTCTTTCCACACAGGGGGAGTTTGCAGCCAACTCAGTGAAGCTCCTGAGTGCTGGGCTCAGGAAGTGAAAGGAGGAAGTTATCCCACATGTTGGACCTTTAGAGCTCCCTGCAGTGGGTGACATGTGCAGGGAACCCAGCAGGCTCCATGCCAGGCTGGGTGGGCACAGGAAAGAGAAGCCCCTGGGGTTACCGAGCAGAGAAAGCAAAGGAGGCTGAGGAAAGCCCTTGCAGCCTCTGTGGAACACAGGGTACAGGGGGATGGACCCATCTCTTGCTTAGGGAATACAGCAGTGCTGGAAATGCTAAACAGGGAAGAAATACAGGGATGGGCGCTCCCTTTTAGCCACCATAATATTTAGGCAGGGCTTCCTCACTTGCCTTCCGAAGAGCAGGACCCATCACTGGGCAAAACAAGCAGAGGCTTTTCTCACTATGCCAGCATGATAAAATAAAGTGGGACCCAGAGACACACAGATGCACTTGTGGGCACTCTGGCTCTCACTAAACACCAGTGCCAGGACACCCGGCCCTCTGGGCTAGCTCTGCTCCTTCTCACCCACATCTCTTGGACAAGCAAAGGCTTTCCTGTCCACCCTTCCCTGGTGCTGCTCTTCAAGCTGTGTCCTGTCTCAGAAAGGTAAGATCAAGCAAATGAGTAACAATCTGCCTGCAAGCACCTGCTTTGTTGACATGGGTGATGGAAGGTGGTGGCCTCTGTGTCCAGCTCAAATCCATTGATCTCCCTGGCCCTGAGTGATGAGTAGGAAAGTAGTGGCATAGCTGGGTACTGCTGGTGATTCCTTTTGCACTGGGTGTGAAGGAGCTTGCCAGTGGGTGAGGGCCTTCCCTGCCCCCCAAGTGCCTGGGGGCTCTGCAGGGCAGAACTGGAGTCCAGCAGGTCTTTGCCTACCCGTGCTGAAGTCTGTTGTCTCTTCAGACCTCTTCCAGCCATTACAGCCACATACTCTCTTCTGTACGGAGGGTCTCTGAGGAAAGGAAGGTTGGCTCTGCACTGGGACAATGGGCCCAGCGCCCTGGGTGGCGAGTCCTGCAAACCGCGTGTGCACCAGGGCTGGGCTGGGCTGTGAGGCTGGGGAGGGAGCAGAGGGCTCCGGATCAGGCCCCGGAGTGTCCCTGCTGCTGCGGCCGGGGGATGAGGCAGCCGGAGGGGAGAGCCCGGCCGGGGGCCTCGGGGAGGCAGGTAGGGCCGGAGGGGCGGGGGGGCCGGAGCGGAGCCAATGGGGAGCCGGGGCAGGTGGAGGGAGGGTTAAAACCCCCCCGGTGTTGGCGGGCGAACGAGTGCCTGGGAGGAGGAGCGGCGAGGAGGGCTGTCCCCGAGGGCAGCCCCGCGGAGTGCGGCGCGGCGGGGTTCCGCCGGCGCTGGCCCGGGGCTGCCCGGCCCGGCTGTGCCCTGGCAGGGGAGCGGCGGAGTGCGGGGGGGCGCGGCGGCTCCGCAAGGGGCCGGGCCATGCACAAGCCCATGGAGAAGTCCCAAAACTTCCGCATCGAGGCGCTTCTGGCTGAAGAGCCGGCGCGGAGCCGGTCCCCACCGGGGCTGAGCCCCGAGAGCCCCGTGGCGAGCCCCGACCCCGCTGGACGTTCCGACGCCGCCTCACCGCGGGCTCTGCCGGCCGCCGCAGCCCTCGCCCCGGCCGGCTTTGTCCCCAAGCCCGGCTTGCTGCATCTCCCCGGCCCCGGGCTCGGCACCCTGCCGGCCCTGTACCCTTCTGCTGTGTACCCCCTCCAGGCCCTGGGGAGCCAGCACCCCTCGTTCTCCTACACCGGCATCCCCCACCTGCCGCCGCCCGGCGCGGAGCAGCTGAAGGCGGCCGTGGCCGGCTCCTTCCCCCTGGAGCACTGGATCCGAGCCGGGATGCTGGTGCCGAGGTTCTCCGACTTCCACGGTGAGTGACCCGGGGACCGACCCTTCCGTCGGGCAGGACGCAGCTGTTGCCCCTTCCAGCTACCGGCACAGCGGGGAGCAGCTTGCTTCGGGAGAGCTGAGGTTTTCCGAGGCTGTACCTTGGCGGCTTCTTGGCCGTTATTGTCGGGAGCCCGGGGGGCTGTTAGCTCTCCTGGCTGACTAGTGCAGGTCTAATGCTGCGCACTGCTGTCCAGTCAAGGCAAGGGGGGGGTCCGTGCCCCGTACACCTCCGAGGGCTGCGGGTCCCCGGGAATCCAATCCGGAGGGCAGAGTCTTTCCCTACCCCAACCGGGTACGGCCCCGAGGGGCACTGTCTACCCCCGTGCCGTCAGAGTCGAGCTGCTCCCGGGCTCGCCGGGCTCCGCCGCGGCGGAAAGAAACGAAAATAAAGACGCAGTGTCCAGAACCGGCACCGGGAAACGAATAAATCCTTCCCGGTGCGGCTGGGAACGAACCGCCCGGGGTCCCGCGGCAGCGGAGCCCACCCGCCGGGGCTGGAGCGTGGAGGGTATGAGGGTCCCCGGTCTGGGGAAGGGCCGCTGCTCCAGGTTCCTGCCCGCTGCCGCGCTCCGCTCGTGGAGTGAGGAGCCGGGTCTGCCGGGCCGGAGAGCCGGGGCCGGATGGAGCTGCGAGAACCTGGCAGCCCGGCGGCGTGCTCCGCTCCAGCCCAGCCCGGTTCCTCCTGGTATGGAAGAAGGATGCATGTTCTGTACACGGCACTGCGGGCAGGCACCGGATCCTGCACTGCAGTGATGGGCCGCGGGTGGGGGGGTGTCCTTCAGGGCGTGGACACCACAAGGACCGACTTCAGGCTCTTGTCCCACCGGGGACTATCACTGCCACCTCTGGCAGTGTCATCCTGCCCTTGCCTGGGGTGAGAGAGGGTTTGGTCACCGCAAAGATGCGGCCAGTAGGCAATAAACCAAGAGTGTCTCCCCGGTGGAGTATCTGGATTTATTAGCTGAGTTCAGTGTCTTTATAATGTGGGAGCCAATAAGAAAAAATAATTTTTAAAGGCTGGATAAATAAATTAATTAACTGTATGGATGCAAAAATAGAGAATTTACATGCAGGATAGATCTAGCGATGAAGTGGTGGTGGCACCTGAGGGTAGAGCGACTGTGTGCACTCTTCAAACATATCATTAAGAGCAGGGGGAGAAGATCTTTTATTTGCAGAGGCTGTGTTGCTCTCACGGGGTCTATCGGTATCAGCATCCCGGTAGCTTCACCCACAACTGTGTCCCCCCAGAGTGGGATCACACTACAGCACCTGCCCTTGAGCACAGCTTCTGGCTAGGATAATGTAGAGAGATTTGTGCACCAAATTTGCATTTGTACATCAGCTCCATCCCTCTCACGTACAGGATTTACTCCACAGCTGGTTGTTTCCAAGACCCTGTTGAAAGGAACCAAAGCTCAAATCACTTGCATGAGAACAGCTTGTGGAAGAGCTTTTGGGCTATGCTAGGATGTACAGGAACAGTGTGTTAATGTGGGTCTTGTGGGAAGCACTGAATTGGGCTCCAGTAATAGTTCCAGGAGAGAAAAAGCAGTTTCTGACCCAGCTGCTTCCATCTCCTCTGGCTCAGGTTTCCATTCTGACGGCTTTCAGAGTTTAATTCCACATGTCCCTCTGACTCATAGCAGAGGGATCAAGCTGGGTGCAGAGCTTGAGCTCATGCCTTCCTGAAGTAGAAGGATGAAGCTTTGTGCATTTGCAGCTGCTCTGCCTTCCTATACTTCCCCGCAAACATCACTTGAGACTTGGTAGACGTACGCTTACTTGAGATCTATTCTCTCCACACTTATTCTCCCATGGATCCTGGTCCTTGTTTTGTGTTATCCTCAATACCATGAGGACTATGTAATCAGATCCTGTTCATTGTCCATCTTCAGATTCTTGTTTAAATCTACTGGGAGAATTTAAGTTCTCAGGTGTGTCCTGAGCCTTTTGTCTTGTGGGCTCGCTTGCAAGCTCTGCAAGCAGGTCTCTTTGCAGCATGCCTTGTCCTTGTAGTCACTAGGACTGGTCTCAGCTGCATGTTACAGCTGTGTGGGCTCGTGTTGCCCCAGTGTGCTGGCCATGCTACTCCACAGCCCTTCCTCATTTATCAGAGGGTGGTGGGCTGGGCGGGAGCCTCCTGCTGTTGGCACAGGGCTTCTGGGCTGCCTGTGGCTCCTTAGTGTCCTGTCCCAACACCCAGCCGAGGCAGACCTACAGACCTGCCTGGCTGACGTTTGCAGGGCACAAGTGACTGTGCTGCCAATGTTGATCATGTTTAGGTCTCCAGATAGGAGTGGACAGGACAGACAGCTGGAAGAGTCAAATCTGAAAGCCTCTTAGGGTACGTTCCTGGGTATCCCAGAGGGAAGTCACCCTATGATTTGTTTATAGAGGATTCCAAGACTAAATTCTGTAAATTCTGGAATTAATTCATTTTTTAGCTGCATGTGTAGAGGTGTTTTGCAGGTATGGTCTGGTTCAGTCTCCTGGGGACAGTCAGGGCTGGCGAAGGAGCAGGATGGCTCCTAATTTGGAATTGCAAGCTCTGTGGGATGCATTTCACACACTTGCACTGCTCTTACCTGCCTATGAGGGAGGTGGGATGCCAGGGAGATGATCTGAGACTGGGTAACCCTTAACCTGGCCTGGGCTTGGGTGCTGGGATCACTCAGAGAAGTGCTCCTGCTGTGCCTTCCTCACCTGGTGCCTCTGCAGAGCTGCGGGCAGCGCTTGCTATGCCCTTGCTGCAGCCAGAAGGAATACTGCCAGCCCAGGCTCTGCTGCTCCCTGTCCCAGGGCTTTGAGCACCTCATAAACCACACAGGGGGAGCATTTGGCACTGGGGTGCTGTGCCTTTTAGTATTTATGGGAACTTTGATTTATTTGCCCTGGCTATCGGCATGAAAATGCAGCATGGCAATGGGAGCCAGGTGCAGAGATCCACCTTGAAGGAGAGTTGTAGGAGTGGAAAGTGGTAATATCCAGCTGCAGACTCTCAGGAAGAGTGAAGGATTGCCCACGAAGGACCTGGTGCTCAGATGGCTTTCCTCAGACACTGTTGCTCTGCATCACCCACTCATCACCTTGTCAGCCTGAAGCCCAGACCAGGTCCTGTCTGCAGCAACAGGCTGATGGGCTATGCTGGGCTATGACAGTAGGCAAGAAAAACATCAAACTGCTTCCAAAAGCAACATCTTCCAATGCTCACCAGGTGCACAGAACCTGGCATCAGCAGGAAACATGGGCTGGAAAACAGTTGGCAAGCAGCAGTCAAGGGTCTATGGTGGAGCAAGTGAGGAGCCAGCAGAGGTAGCAATTGCCCTTACACATGCTACCCTATGGGTAATGGTCAGGGCTGCTGGCAGGCCAACAGAAGACTCTGGTGGTGGCCCCAGTGCTGATGAGGCTTCTCCCCCGCCAGACCTGACATTAGGGGAAACACCTCTAAGGCTGCAAGGGTGCTAATTTCCTCTCCTTTATCTGCCAGCCCACAAAGTGAAGTGAACTATAGCTAAACAAACCAAATTAAAATCAAGTGGGTTAATATCAACCTAGGATTACCCTTGTTATCAAGAAGACGGAACTGTATCAAATAAACCAACAATTCTTTATAAGCTTTATCTAATTATCCAGGAGGCAGCTGCCTTCTAGAGCTCCTGGCCTCAGACTTGGAGGGCATTCCTGGCTCCAGGCCAGCCATTTATTTACCAATATTGCAGCCAAATGATGAATACCCACTGGGGGTCCAAGCCCTGCCAGGCTGCATATATATCCTGCCAGGGATATTGAGATGAGCTGTGATCCTGGATGTAGCACTGGAGGAGATGTCTGGGCAGATAGGAAATCCTTTGGCAAGCAAAGGCGTGATGCTGAGGCAGTCACTGGTCTTCTTGTAGGAGCTGGGTAAGAGGGGGAACATTCCCAAAGAGTTACTCTTTCTGTGGGATGCTGGTTGTGATGGGGATGGTGGTAGCATAGCTCAGCTGGCAATGACTGGGAGATGTGATCCCTGGGGGGATGCTTGCAATGCATCTCTTGGGAGAATGCTGTCCATGTGCATACTGCTATCAGACAGTCCAACCAGACTGCTACAGGACAGCAGGGTACAGGACTCCACAAAACACACTGGCAGGACAGACTGGAGCTACCAGCAGCCACAAGGCATAGTTTCCTCTTTGTACAGGAAACTGGAACCTACTTGGTACCTCAGGCACCACTTTCTCCACCTCCTCCCTTTGCTCCTTCCCTGGTGAGGAATTGAAGAACTTCTTCCTCCATACTCTCTGCATGCAAAGGAGCCAGGGCCCTTCAGGGAAGCTAACAACAGGCCTGAGGCCAGAGATTCTGATCGTTCAGGTCCACACTGACATGCTGTTGTTGGTGGCTGTGTAAGCTGAGCTTTGGACTGGTGATGTCTTGAGCTGTGCGACACCACCACTGAAGGGTTTGAGAGCTGGGTTTTTTGTCAGCACAGGGGCAGGAGACAGGGTGGGTGTCCAGGGAAGTCAGGTTCTGTACAATGGACACCACTGCGCTGAAATCCAATTGGAGACACAGATGGAGAAGCTGGGGCTGTTGGAGGGACCATGCTCCAGCAGTCAGTCCCCTCATTGCTAACCATTTGGGATATATTCTGTTTGGATTTATTTGGCTTTTGAGCAAGATTTCTGTTCTTTTCCTTGCTAGATCAGGCAGTTCTCAGCCTTTTACCCAGCCAAGAGTGAGTCTTTTGGAGGTGCTGTTAAAGCAAGCTGCCTTCCTGCCTCCTCTGAAGCTGGACAGAGATCACTGCATTTGAGATTGAGACTCACTTCTGTCCTCCACTCTTCCCACATCTGTTTTTAGTCTGGCCACATCTGACCTTGCAGAAGGAGGCACAGAGGAGCCTTTCAGGGTGATCTGGAGGATTTCTGTGCTTCCCAGAACCAGGATGCAGTGCCCTAGGAGCTGAGCCCTGCACTTTCTGCATTGGGGTGGGGAATTCAGGCTGGGAATATGATATTTCTTCACCCCTGGAAAAACAGCCTCTAGCTCAAGAAAGCACAGAAGTCTTGGATTACCGGATGCTGGGAAGTGGGTACACACTCCCCCCTTCTCTTCCTCCAAAGCATCCTCTACACACCATGCCCCAAAAGAGATACGTAGAGCTGCTTTGTGTTGTGACCCAACCAATGCTGACTGAATTAATTTTCCCTCTGGTTCTTTCTGATACAAGTCTGGTCTTCCTCCCACCCCAAGGAGCTGCAAGAGGTTTTAGCATGTGCTACCCCATCCCTGCAGGTGTTGGTCCCAGTGGCACCTCCTTTCCCTATCTGAAGGGATCCTTTTCAGGTCTATTTGGTCTCCTGTATCCAGCAAGGATTTGTACAGTCAGAGCATCCATAGCAAGCCAGAGCTCAGATGGCAGCCAAGCTCTGCAGAGCGGAGCCATCTTCCATCCGACATTCATACTTGTCCCAGAAATCTTGAGCCTCTCATTTCATGGAATCATAGAATAGAGTAGAAAAGGACCTAAAGATCATCTAGTTAGCCTTGTATATGTTTTGTACGCCAAATAACATAGTGTCTGTGTGTGTGTCAGAGCTGTTGGCACAGCATGACCCTACTTAGTCCCTAGTTTAACTGGCCCGTGGCTGCAAGGTGGGTCCCATAGCTGCCTCTCCTGACACCATGGGGCTGCAGGTGCAGGAGGGTTGTGTCCATTCCATAAGGAGTTTGCAGTCAGCCCAGCATGGGCTCTGTCTGTTTGACCTGTTCCACCCAGCATCCAGGTACCTGGGATCAAACCCGGATCATGTTCAGTTATTGTCCCCTTCGTAAATTCCTGCCTCATGTGTCACTGCTGTGTTTGTGAAGGGCTCTGTGGACACTTCTGGAGATGGGAAGGTTGGGATCAAAGATGGAATCTGGGGGAGATGATGTGGATGGTGCCCCAGCACTGTAAAGTGGTGAAGGCGAAGAGACCCTTGCCAAGCAGGGACATCTCTGGGGCCATGATGCTCTGCCTTTCCCCCTGAGACACAACAGTGGGGATGTGCCAAGGACCTTTCCTGCTAGTGCCCCCCCTCCACTCCTGCGGCACTTTACTCCCAGCTGCAAACCTCTGGGTATGATTGCCACTGCGGTGCTGGGGGAAGCAGTAAAAGCTGAACCCCGGGGGGACAATAAAGCCAGCCGAGAGGAGATAAGCAGGGATCAAACGCGGTGCGGCAGCCACCCCACGCTGGACTCTCAAAGGTCCCTTTGTTCCTGCTGCCTCCTGACTCAGCACCGCGCTGCCTTCAAGGGCTGCGGGGGAGATAGTGGGGCTCCCGGGCAGCTCTGCCTGCAGCCCCTGGCAGTTGGGCAGCCACCTGCACGCCCGGCAATAAAAAAGGAGGATTAATTCCAGTCACAGGACTGATCCCAGCTGCACATCGAGGCCTGATAAGGTATCTCGCTGGTTTCTATCAGCCAGGCAATAAAGCCATTACTGAGGTAGGAGATGAGGGAAGAGACACTGGCTTTCCTCCTCATCCCGGGCTTGCTTGCCGAGGGGATGGATGTCCCTCCAGTCCTGCTGTCCCCTGATCTATTCTCTGCCCCACAGCAGCCCCACAGTCTGGCTTGATGGGGAAGTGCCGTCGGCCCCGTACAGCCTTCACCAGCCAGCAGCTCCTGGAGCTGGAGAACCAGTTCAAGCTCAACAAGTACCTGTCCAGACCCAAGCGCTTTGAGGTGGCCACATCGCTGATGCTCACCGAGACACAGGTACCGTGTTCCCAGGGGGATGGAGTGTAGCACCAGCCAGCTGCCAGGGAGCAAAGTGGCAAGGTCATGGGCAACGCTGATGCCCCTTGCTCGGCTGCCACCAACCCCACATTCCACTGCCCCATCAGCACCACTTCCAGGGTGTCTCCCACAGAGACCTGCCTGGTGGGCTCCAGGCTCTTCTCTTGTGAAGGGCACCCTAGAAGTACTGCTCCTTTTTACCCACAAACCCCAGCTTGGGTTTCAGAGCCTTCTCATCCCTCACCGCACTGTGGGAGGGGGCTTTTTGTAGGGCTAAAACGAACATGCCCTGGTTCATGTGCTTGGGCATCCTGCAGAAGTCAGGCAGGGGGAAGGGAGCAGCCCCCACAGGGACTCCTCTTCCCATTACAACCTCAGCCTCTTTGCACAGACCTGCAGCACCACGGGATGCCTCGCAACAAAGGGGCTTTTGGGAGGGCCTCCATGCAGGGAAGGTGAGAAGAGAGGGGGTGCGTGGGGGCAGGATGGAGCAAAGGGACACATTCTCCCTTCGGGGCTCTCCCTCGGCAGGTGAAGATCTGGTTCCAGAACCGCCGCATGAAGTGGAAGCGGAGCCGCAAAGCCAAGGAGCAGGGAGCTCAGGTGGAAGCTGACAAGCAACGAGGGCTCAGCAAAGCCTGCGAGAAGCTGCTGTCCGGCGAGCCCCAGGGACAAGCTACAGAAAGCCCCGAATTTATGGGGTGCAGCCCCCGCTCGGGCTTCCTGCACCGCAGCGCCGCCCAGCTGGGCTATGGCCCGGACTCCTCCTGCTCGGGGGATGAGGAGGACGAGGAAGAGGAGGAGGACGAGATGGGTGCCACGAAGAGGAAGATCGGCTCTGTGTTGTGAAAGGCAGATGAAGCCAGTCGGGGAGAGGGGCTGGGCTGCAGTGTCTGGTGCTCTCTTTGCTGGCAGACACGGACTGTGCCTCGGCGGAATCGGAGGGGCTGCAGGGCTCCTGCCCCCCCCCTTTAACTTATGTGTGTTTGGTTCCTATTTAACTCGTAATTATTCCTCTGTGTGTACCTGGGGGAGTCCCCACATCCATCCCCTATAAAGCTGTTATCCGGTTGCCTGTGCTCTTCCTTAGGGGACAAGAGGCTCTGCCCTGCTCCTGAGCTGCGGTGCCCTGCCAGGGTCCCTGGGGAGCTGGGTGGGGACAGTAGACTTGCACAGCTGGCAGCCCACAACACAGCTGGAGAGGAGAGACCCTGGACCCTCCTTCAACTGTGCACTGCCCTTCCGTGCCAATACAACAGTGACTGGAGCAGTGCACCCGTGCATGGTGCCAGCTGCCCTTCCCCTTGCCGTAGTGAAGGGCTGGGAAGGAGGATGTCCAGGATGCGTGGCAGCCTGCCCTGCTTCCTCCTGCATCTCTAGTGTCCCTGGTGGGGTCTGCACTTGTAGGACAAACCTAGACTGTCAACTCTGCAAAGCAGAGCTGGTTGTTACTTGGCTATGGTAGTGCTGTTTCCCATGCTGCATATTAGCCTGGTTGCAGCGGCATGGCATTTCCCCAAAGTAAGGTGGGGATGGAGCCCTCCTCAGTTTAGGGAGGTGCTCAGGCTGTTTGTGAGCACTCATTGCTGTGGTAAGCCCCACTTTTTCTACGGTGATGTCTGAATCTCTCCCAATCCCTCCATGGGCTGATTTCATGATCATCTTGGGACCTTGCTGGCTCTCACTGGGTTCAAATCAACCCCTGGCAGCAGGGTGACAATGGACACCCTCTGCCACCTCCCTAGAAGCACCAGGATTAAGCCCTGACTGCCCCTAAGCGAGCAGGCTGCCCTTGTCCTCAGCATGCTAGAGGCTCCTAGCAGATCTCTTATGTCGTCTGCATGAGGAGGAAAGTGAGCGTCTCTTCCATCACCTCCTGCCCCAATAATGGCTTTATTGCCTGGCTGATAGGAACGTCACCTTCTCCCTGTCCCTGCCTGAGAGTGGCAGGGATGCTGCCTGCAAACGGAACCTGCCGTGAGGTGGGAGCTGCTGAAGGGCAGCAGCCACTGGGGAGCCCCGTGTCACCTCTGGCAGCCAGTCAGCAATGGATGGGGCAGGTGAGGGTTCGTGTGGGGCTGTCACCTTGCAGGGTTGGGGCTGGGACTGCTGTGGAGCAGCATCCTGGACAGAGGGACAGATGTGATGCTTTTGAGACAGAGGGATGGACAGAGGAAGTAGATATTGGGAGAGCAGGGGGATGGATGGATGGATGGGTGGACAGAGAGATAGGACACACAGGAGTGTGGGCTAACAGTGACCCGCAGTGGCTGCTGGCAGCTCAGCAGCTTTGCCCTAGGTTCGTGGCATCCTTGGTGTCCGAGTCCCCTGTCCCCAGGCAACCCATCCCAGTGCACGGCAGGGCCTGACTGCCCACAAAGGAGGTGTCCGGATCCTGGCAATGCCCAGCGGGGGCGTTCTGGTGCTGAGGAGGTGCAGGTGTTGCTCTAAAGGTGGAGATGTGAGCCAGAGTAGGGACCAAGTGCCAGGAGCCTGTGATGTCTGGTCTAACATGGTACAGGAGGAGGGGAAAGACAGGGAAAGAAAGGAGAATGGGAGAGAGAAGTAGGAAAGGATGGTACCCAATTCCCCACTATTGCCCCTGCAGGGATAGCGGGCAGGAAAGATCCACTTCCCCAGGGGAGCTGTGCCCCCGACAGCAGGCACACAGGTCTGGGCATGGAGATGCTGGCAGATGCCAGCCCATGATTTTTGGAGCCTCAGGACCAAAGACATCTACTACCCGGTTGATGTACAGCCTGGCCCTGCAGCAGTGGGGGAGCATGGAGAGGACCACAGGCTGGAGCTAGGCACACTGGGTTGGGGGTGAGATGGGGGGAAATGATGGCAGGGGCAGAGAGGAAAAGGAGAGAAGGAAAGCAAGAACAGCAACAACAACAGTGTCAGGAAGGAGGAGCAGAGCTGAAGGGATGTCACACGCTTAAAACGTTCACACTGATGGGCCATGACAGGTTTAATTTTCAGCGTACAATCATTAAAGTGATGGATGGGAGACTTTCATCCCTCGCCTGGTGCACACGGGCCTGCTGTGGCTACAGAAGGATTTGTGTTGTTGCTGTTATTTATGAGGTTGTTTCTGCAGGAGCCAAGCACTCATCCAGTGCTGAGGGGACAGAGGACATGATTTGATGCTGGAGAATTTGGGGCCCTGATTTACAGCTGCTGAGCTGGATAACTCACACTGTAAACATCGACAAATGTCATTAAAGCTGCATCTCCTTCCTACCTCTGCCCTGGCACCTTCCCTGCACTGTGAGAAATGTCCAGTCCTGCTATCCACCCCACTGCTGCCTGCACAGCCCAGGAGGGCTATCTGGCCCTCCTCACTAAAGACACTGGGGTCCTCCTGCTCCTTGAGGGCCTTCCAGGGCACTGGGAAGATGTAGGAGTGTCCCGTGGTGGTGGTGGTGGTACCTTACGGGAATCATAGCTGGGGTGGGCTTGTGTAGCCAGGGCTCGCTCCCTGTGTCCCTTTGCCTGTCTTGGCCTCATAACTTCTTGTGGCAGTGGTCACAACTTATTTGTGTCACTGATGCTCCAAGGAGCTCACTGTGACCTGGCCTAGTTAAGGTGCCAACCCACTCTGACACCAGCACTCTCCAGCCTGCTGCACCCTATGCCCTCTTGCCCCCAACTTAGCTCCACAGCTTCCTCACCCACCCATCCCGTGCACCCACGTACTTCATGGCACCCCATCTGCTGACTCAGCTGTATGCTGTCTCCCTCCCCTGCATCCATCCTCATCAGCCCTGAGCTCTCTCCTGCACCCCGGCATCCCCTGCACCCCTCCATCTACCACCTGCCCCCCTCCATCTCCCTGTCCTCAATCAACTCCCGGTCTCCATCTGCCCCTGCATTATTTGCTCCCTCCCATATCCCCACTGCACCCCTTTATCTGTCCCTGCACCCCTCAGCTCCCCCATTGCATTCCTGAGGACTTCCCACCTGCACTCTGAGACCCCTCATTTCCCCCCTGCATCCCTCCATTTGCCCCGTGCACCCATGAGAGCTCCCTATCTGCCCCTTGCACCCTTCCACTTGCACTTTGAGCCCCCCATCTTCCCCTGTACTGCTCCATCTGCCCCGCGCACCCCCATCTCCTGCTCATCTCCCCGCTGTCCGCGTCCCTCTGCTGTCCCCTGGCGGTCGCCGCCGGCAGCCGTCACCGCGGATTGACCCGAGGCGGCCGCCGTCGTTGCTCCGAGAGACGATGACGCCGCGTCCGGTCTCCATGGCAACACGGGCCGGCTTCCCGTGGCGAGAGCGATCGGGCCCAGGAGGGCTCTCGTTGGGGCGGTGGGACCCCACCGGAGCCGAGGTGGGGCCAGGCAGGGCTTGAGGGAGCTGAGCTGGCCGCGTGGGCCCGGGGTTGGCGGTGGCCCGGGGTCCGAGGGCCAGGCAGGGTTACAGGGAACTGTGTCGTGCCCCACGGAGCTGGGCAGGCTGGTGCTGTAGGGAACAGGCAGTGCCACAGCCATCGTTCTGGAGTTTTAGGGGGCCAGGCAAGGCTATAGGGAGGGCTTTGCTGCACTGGGCTCTGTTGGTCTTCACAGGGCTGTGCTATAACGGCCTAAGGGAGCTCTGCCAGAGGGGTCTGAGCTGTGAGTGAAACTGGGCTCAACTGGCAATATGGGGACAGTACTGCGGACACTACAGGGAGGTGTGCCATCCCGAGCCCCAGGAAGGCCCCGCAGTGCAGCAAAGGCTGTTTGGGTGCAGGAGCAGTGTGTGAGGACTTTTGCCTCTGGTTTCTCAGATGCTTGCTCAGGCGCATGGCGAGCCCCAGAACTCTGACGCTTTTCGGAGGCTGTCCTCTGGTTGCATCAGGAAGGTGAGTGGGAAGCAAAGGTGCCATTGCGGTGCGGTGATTTCGGCAGGGCAAGGAGGCGACAAAACCAAAAAGCCCTTCAGGCTTTGCTTCACTCGCTCTTGGCATCTTTTAGAAGCTGTTGTTTGCGTTGTGGCCAGGAGATGTCCCCTCCGGACCCCTGCAGCTCTGCCGCAAGGCGGCTCCGCCTCTCCTTTGCTAGACTCGGGAACTTTCAGCATAGAGAAACAGTTGTTTGAGTGGTTTCCCCTCCCTCCCAAACTCCTAATGTCCCCGTTGCAGCTCCCTAAGCTGTCTGCAGGAAAGACGAAGAAAGGAGTATTCTGGGGCATTGAGGTGACCAAAACACTCAGGTGGCACGGCTGGGAGCTTGGAAAAGAGACCATCAAGCACCTGATACTGAAAAACGTTCATGAGAAAACCCAGAAGCTGAGCTACAGGTGCATGGAAGTTTCCTTCTCCTTTGTTCTCCTCATTCTCTCACTGAATCTTCATCCCTCCCGCTGCATCAGTCCCAGCAGCACCTTTTCTCAGATTCAGCTAGAGACAGCACATGCACGCTTACGTTAGCATGAGAGAAACCTGATAATTCAGAAGCTTCAGAATTACAGCCCTTGTTTCTGGCAGGAGTATTTTAAATTAAACATCCTTTTTGTTTTGTTGTGGATTTTTGTAATTCTGTTTTGCTGATACTTCTGTCTGTGAGGCATTTCCAGTCTGGTGAAATTTTAATTGTGGATGTATGCCAGCCAGTCACCAGTGTATCCTAAAACCATTGTTCCCGGGAGTCCCACTGGATGTTGAGCCACTCCAGTACTCCCTGTGACCCTCTCTGCTCTGACACTGTTTCTGCTCAATGTGTTTTGCTCATGCTGCATGGTCTGGGAATGTAGAATATTGTTCAAGGAGCTGGGAATGGGTTTTCAGAACACCTGAGTTCTGCCCCTGTTTCTGCTGATTTACTACCATGGTACAGCTGTGTGAACTGCTTCTAGTTGTGAGGTCTGGAGGGTTTGATGTTTTTCATTCTCTTTTATGCTGTTTAACTTAACAACAGTTCTATGCCCTCAGACAAAATATCTTGTTCTGATTTCAACCTTTAGGTGTCCTTCTACGAGATTCTTCTTCACTGTTTTTCCACAGCCGATCATTCTGAGACCTGGTATGTCCTTAACTCTGCCCATCATTTTCCGGCCCACTGAAAAGGTAAAGTGGCAATACCGAACTGCTCTCAGTGCTCAGGCTGGCCTCCAGAGCGGCAGTGGGCCTCTGACTCTCATGTCCTTTCTGATTTGTTTTCACTTGAATGCATGAGTCCTTAGGGGAGGTGTTAGCAGAGAAAGGCTGGGCCTCGGGATTTTCCTGCTCTCCCCACATTGTCAGCACCTGAGAGAGCCCTGACTTCTCTGCAGAGTTTGCCATTGGCTATGAGAAGGATCCTCACAAAAAGTATTCCCAGATTTTCATGTGCTGCTTCTGGCCATGAAATCAGTAAGATAAAGCGCTTGAACTGTCCACATCTGGTTTCATTCCAGGGAAACTCAGCTGGGTGGTTTGAGTGTAGAACCTTGGTTTGAGGAGCTCACTCTCTGCTTTCTTGCAGGAGACCCCAAAGCCTATATGTTGAAGGGCTACTGATTTTCTATAAGGCATATGTGAAGGGCCTCCATTAATTTGGGTGGAGTGGGTTTCTTTAAGCTTTATTTTTAACAGCAGCGATTCCTGATTCTTTTTCCCATCCATTTTTTCTTGATTTTCAGCTTGTTTCTAGTGTCTGTCTTGGCTCTGAGCGCTGATCTCTGGCTGTTGTCCACGGCTGTATGTCTTTGATGTGAATCTCAGTCCTAGGCATAGACTGTGATCACTGGATAAATTCCCAGTACCCCGCTCCTTTAGTATCATGATTTTCTGAGCTGTTCAGTGTTCCCTTTATGAAATAGCTCATATTCATTCAATTTTCAGTGAATAGCTTGTCTACACCTGCCAATCAGTGGAGCAGGGGGCTCCCTTTCTTAGAGAAAGCAAGGACTGTGTGTGTTGAGTGCCCAAGGTCTCTTAGC